CTACATTGATAAAAAAGTACAGATGCGGCAGGAAAAAATTACCAAGTTGGGTATGTAGCTTCGCTAAGTCGTTAGTTTTGTAGGGATGTTTGACAAAAATAACTTATTCAGTGACCAAAATTCCTGACTAATATTTGTGTTTACTTTATTCTGTATCTAAAATAATAGTAGTGAGATGTTTAGAAGTTTTTAAAAAGGATATGGTTACATGCCTACATAAGCTAATGAGTTATTAAGTTTAAACTTTTAACATCAGTTTATAAATTAATGACACTTCAAATACTTTATTTAGAAAACTACCGTATTTCATGCACTAAACTCCGTGGGTTTATTTTTAAAAAGTACATATTCCTCGGGGTTTATTTGAAGACCAGAATTTTTCGAGGTCGGGGATTATAACCTCGCAACAAATGTTATAAATTGAAAGAAATAACTTAGCCTAATTATTCGTACATTTTCCAAAACCATTTGTTTATTGTATTTAAAGATTACAGCTACGTAGATATTTGAAATAACTATTGCTTTCATAGTTAATCAGATTCAGCGTCTTCAATTCGGTTATTACGCTGTCTTTTGGGTTTACTTTACTTCCATGTCGGGAGTTGCCAGATGTCCGAGATTTTTTCCGACTGCCATCTAGCGACAGGAGAATTTTATTGTAAAAATTGTTCCTACAATAAAGTATCTTTTTCTTATTTCCACATTTTAAATGTATTTCTGTCACTGGCAGAATAAAAGTGTACAGCTATTGCTTGTCCTGAAATTGAAGCATCCCAGTATTTTTCGGAAAGAACTCATTTTGTCTCGGATTTTATCCCAAAGTACCTGCAAACCTATTCATGTCGTCGTAGAAATTAAGACCAAGATCTTGACTATCATCTTCTAGTTCAAACTCAGCATAAATAAATGGTTTTCCCTATTCGAATTTTCCTAGTTACCCCTTTGGTCGATAAGCTCTCGACTTATGAACTCTATCGCGACTTTTCCGTGCTCAGTATTCAACAATATTCATAATTTTATTTTAAAAAGTTTCCATGAATCTTGGAATAGAAAATTCTGTCCGACTTGACAATTTGTAGAACTTTTTAAACTCCTAAATTTTTTAGTCAACTACATCACTCTGTTCAGTGCTGTATTTCAATTTGTTTTCCATATTTTTCAGCCCGGAGTTTATTTTTAACAGGGTTTATTTGAAGAGTGGGACTTAATTGAGAAAATACGATAAACATTTTTATATCTTAATCTCTTATAAATATGTTTGGAAACGCATAATGGAACTATCAAAATGAAATAATTGCATGTTAACATTTTCGTGCTTGAAATTCTGTTTGCATGTAATTCAATAGGTTGCAAGTTATTCTTGTAAAATCAACATTAAAGTACTGTATTTCTAAAAATAAAATTACATTACTAAGTTATATAAATTAAATTTTGTTTTGTAGCTTTATATTTTTTGAAATATTAAATTACATAATCAAATACAACCGTTGTTCTCTGGAGATACTCTGTGAAAACAATAATAGACATTTACTTTTTTTATTTTCGTCTCGTTAAATTGAGATTTAGAGAATAATGAGATTTGGTCTTACATATTTTGGTCTTACTGTTGCATTCGATACTTCGAACCCTTGCAAATATTGATGCAAAAGTAATGAACAACGAATGAAAATAACTTATTGCACATCACTATTTAAAATTCAAATAAGAGAACTGATAATAAGTTTGATGAATTAATGTGAAAGAAAAAGATGTAGAAACCTATTTATGACTTAAGCTATAGTAAATACGTGTAGTATATGTAAGTTTGCTAGCATTAAAGAACTTCTGAGTTTGTAAATAATTTCTTAAAAAAATTATTTTCTCATAAATTAAGAAACTATCGTCATTTAAAATCTTTTTGCACAAACAAATCAGTTTAATTTATTTCTATGATATGCTTATCCGTTTTTACAGTACCAAGACTACAATACTAATATCTGTAATTATCATTTTTACAATATTAATATCTATAATTATTTCTTTTGAATATTCGGAATTTCTATATTGAGAAAGAATTATAAATTTTTCTTTAAAAAAAATATAGCAGCCACAAAGATTATTGCAAATTTATTACTTAACTTTTTAAGCATATAGATACGAAGCAGATGGTATATAGAAGAGTTACTTGGTGCTTCATAAAGGCAAATCTGCGACTCCGAGATCTCAGATGTTGATAATGATGTAAAACTTAAAATAAAACTTAAAATATTGTTTATTTTTAATAAATTAAAGGACAAAAATGAATTAAAGCGTTATAATAAACAACTATTTGCTGTCTATTAATGTGTAAAATTAAATTTATGATAGGCCTATTAAGAATATTGACTTGAGGAATATGTGAATTAATTTTATGGAATTTAATGAAGCATTTAAGCGTTAAAAATCTTATTCAATTATCATTTTTCTTTAATGTGTAATAAAAAATGTTTTATGAAATGTCAATTTTACTCATCCGTATCATCTGAATTTATTTAAAGAATTATTAAATAATGTAACTTTTATGTCTTATTTTAATAATAATAGAAAATTAATAGATTATCACAAATATTCTTAAAATGCATAGGAAATATATAATTGTAAAATACTTTTTTAAATTTTATTTTTAATTAAATTTAAACATTTATATTTAATATAATTTTTGCAGTTTATTTGAATTTTGATAGTAAAACTCTATTAATTTATCTGTTCGTGGAGTATTAGCATAACGCATATACAGTAATAATTGCAAGATTAGGAAATATAAAGAAATTTACTGGTGAAACTTCCATATTCTTCCAACAGGATCACTTTTTAATGCGTAAATTGTTAATTCTCTTTATCATATCTGCTATTTAATTGGCATATATGAATCGATATATATTTGGTTAATATCATTAATTATTTTTTTTAAGACATTCGGTATTGTTTATTAAGATGATCTGGTTTATTATGCACTCAGAACAAATTTATTTATTCTATTTCATTAATAAACTCTACTGCTTAAGTGAGGAAGGATTAATTCGAGAAAACAAACTACATGCATAGTAACTAGTTAATATTTTGTTTTCCCCAGTTTTATATTTACCTGCCAAATTTATCAACTTTACTGCTTTTAACTTCAATAATGTATAAAAGTGGAATTGTATTTCAAAAAGTATAGATTGTTGTAGATAATGCCATTATTAAAAGTTTTAGTGTAAGCATTCACATAAACTGCTCACACCATGGTTGATGCAAACTAAGTTTGGAATGTCAAGGTGGATATAAACGTATTCTACGTAATAGGGCCTAATAGATATTTTCAGTCCTGAGCATTGATTGTCAATCTCCTTAAATAAAAAGTTCCACTGCTTACATTTTTTCTCATATTATTCTAAAAAAGAAGAAGGGGAAAAAACGTTAAGTTACCAATTCACATAAAGATAAAACAAAAGGTTTTATGGGATCAGGAGCAACATTTACCTATAGTAGGCATTTTTTAATCTAATGAATAAAAAAAATCTGTGATATTTACGAGAATATTTCTTTAAACTATATTTAGACCTATACATATATACACGTTTCGATATAGATTTTATAAAAGAAAGAATATTTTGCCAGCGATTTACATTTCTTTGTTGAATAAATATTTATGGTATGAATAATGTGTTAAGAAATCATAAATCATATTTCTTTATCCTATATTTTCGAATAGTTATATAAAATTACTTCAAAAATATACTTTTTAAGATGCAATTTTTCTAACAACTTCTTTTTTCTTCAGTTTCCAATAAATAAAGCAAATCTGTCTTACTATCATTTACAGATTTAGTATTTCGTATACTTTATTAAACGTCTTTAAAAATTTTTTACGAATCTTATACTTTCAATGCTACAATATCCATTTAATTTTAGCTTTCTATCCAGCATTTTTCTAAATTATTCATCATATCATAAAATTTGTATTTTACATATTGTCACTTTTCCAACTTTTGGTAAAAAATAAAATTTTTATGTTGAAAGTTTAAAATTATTCAAATCGTACCTAGCACAGAAAATAATGATTTTACTTTCGGTAAATATTAGCTTCAGAGACAAAATTCTTGGGAAATTTTATTAATAGAAATTTTAATCTACATACCACTAAAACAAAACTCAACAAAATTTGGGTATTATCATCTACTTGTTCAACAAATTTATATAAAATATAAAATTCTGTATTCATTTGATTTGTTTCATTGAACAGAATTAAGAAATTAAATTACGCGAGTATCTTCTCTAGTTCATATTTCATGCATCAGCTGGTATTTCAATGGAATGTATGATTAATATACGATATTAAAAAGGATTTAAGCTGATGAAATATAGGCAAATTTCCATTATTATATTAAAAAATATAAATGAAATATTGATTGTTATATAATATATTATATTTTAAGAGATTAAAATTTTATTATATTTCATTAGAATATTTGTGTCAGTACTCAAGAAAAAATCAAACCAAAGTGGATTTTTAAACTTAAATATTTTATGATACATATAAAAGGTCAAAAAGTCAATTTTGGATTTATTTTCTAATTAGTTTTATATTTGAAATTTCACTTAACATTTTTCAAAAATAATTTTCGTTTTTAAGGGAAAAACAAATAATTACTTCAATTACTCTTTAAGAAATATTTTTCTTTGAATACGGAGTACATTTTTATTCAGTGAATCAATAGTCACATTTCTGATTTTAATGAGTATTTTTATATGATTGTATGTATATTTTAAACATTTATTTACATAGATATTGTTTTTGTTACTTAGTTTTTCATATAATATGTTATTAAGAATAGCCTAAAACTTTAAAAAATTATAATAATGTTGGGTTTGGTCTATTTTGTGACTTTTAAACACTTTTTTTTTATTTTAATTTTAAATAGTATAAAATTATTTTTAAACAAATTGTAGTTATGATATATTGTGTAAATTAAAGCAATTGATTATCCTTTTTCAGTTATACGCTGTAATTATTAGAATAGATTGTAGGAAGTCGCGTATCAAGGCAAGATGTCCATCCTGAAAAATTTCATACTTGACAATATTGTTTAAACTCTGATCTACGGAAAGCGTAATTTAATTTAAGACCTGTTTACTTACACGACATATATCTAATTATAACGACACAGGTAAGGTTTTTTTTTTTTTTAAATTTAGTCTGGCATTTTCATTAAAAAATTAGTTGTTTCGTTTAGGATTTTGTAAGTAGCAGCCGTTTCGGTCACACGGCAATCAGTAAAAGTTACAATCACGTTTATTTTAATCTTTCCGTTTTAGGATAAAATGTACAAGGTATAGTTGGGGTAAGATGCCTATAGTGCAACTTGTCTCATCTAGTAGAAGGAAACAATAGCCATATTTTAGCGGCTGTCTTTCAGTAAGTTGATATTACTTTTTAGTCAGTTTATGTACAGCAATTTACTGTTTGTCCATAGACTATCCGCAGTTTTAGTATTTGGTTTACTTTTTTAGGGGCAGTAATGGTGCGTGATTACAAACGAAAGACTAACAGAACTTGGTCCGAGGAATCTCATCAAAGTGCAACCACTCCGTTAAGAAAGTAGAGTTAAGTACAACTAGAACCAACAAACGATATAGGATTTCTCGAAGAACGTTACAGAGACGCTTACAAAGCCTCAATTTTAAAATGATTATTGCTATGGGACGACAGGCGCTCTTGATCAAAGATACCACTTTGGAGAAGTCGAGTTCAAACTTCATAGACATGTTCTTGGAGAATCGCGGATTCCCATTAACTATGACCGATGATCGAGACCAGTCCTATCATTAGGCGAAACATTAGACTGAAGTACTCATTTAACCGGGAGCGACACAAAGCAGGTTACGATTAGTTATACAGTATAGCTTTCTGAGTAGATATTCTGATATTACCGTTAGAAAAAAGAAAATCTGTCTGTTGTCAGAGCAAAATGTATGGAACAACATGAAAGGGTAATGTTTCCTGAATGCAAAGACCTGTTTGTATCATTTTTTCATTATAAATTTTTTTCAATTTCCTTTGAGGACAAGTTGCGCACGATGGTGTGCATCTTCTCTGTATACGGGAAAAACGCATACCAACGATTGCTTTCGAAAATTGAATTTATTTCTGTAATACTGTAATTTTCTTTCATTGCTGTTGTTGTGTAATAAAGAGAGGATTTAAGTAACTGATTGCCTGATTGAAATCTCTATATGTTGCAGTACTTATTGTCTGTGCGGAACAAATGTTAACTAACTTATGCGCGACTTCCTCATTCTACATCTAGAATCTAATGTTCGAGTAATTGCTTGTTTACTTAATATAACTGTTTACTTGTTAATTTCCACAGAAATATAATTATGTAATAATTCTTTCTCAACAAACAAACAAACTTTATCAACTTCTGTAACATTTATAATTAATTTTTGAGAACATTTTATTTTATATATAAGTTTTAACGATGAAATTCATCTCAAACGTTAGTACAAGCAATTAAAGTTTATTTAAATACATTTATAACAGTGTAATTATAATTTCCAAGAAACGTAAACTGAGGTTTTATTCAAACCACATGTAATTAAATATACTGTAATAATGTAGTTTATGGTTACAAGTTTATTTTTGGTTGCATATAGTCTCAGTTGGAATCTGAGATTGACAAAAAAAAAATTGGCTACAGTTTAATTCTATTAACGCTAATAGAAACTAATAGAGTCTCAAAAACTATTAATATTCCAAATTTTATCTATGATTTGTAAATATATAAATGGAGCCATATATATTATTATTTATATTATAATTATGTTTACTTGATTTTTTCATTTATCTTGTTCACTAAAAAATACTGTTTTAGTTATAAAATCAAAATGATTCGTAATAACTTCATTTTACATTATAGCAATATAAAATTTGTATTTTTTATACAGATGTATTATATAACATATTAACGTTACTTATCCCGAGATATTACTTCTGTAATTAATTAAATTAACAGATATGTAAATAATATGAGATTGTGTAGTAATAAATAATACTTTAGACATTTATTAATCATTTAATTTATAACTTAAATCTCATTTATTAGTAGTTTAGAAAACCTAGATTATGAATAATCACCGATTGAATAAATATATTCAAACTAATATTTTAGTAAAATTTTAAATAAATTATTTTATATAAATATCAAATTTTTTTTATTAATAAAACAAATAAACTTTCTGTGACTGTAAATTTTTGTTATGTTAATATAAATGTTGTAATAAATAGAGTAACAAAAAATTTTAAATAAAAATTATCGAATATTCGATTATATAATACGCAGCTTATTTTATAATATAATATCAAAAATTCTTTATATGAAAAAAATTCATTAATTGAAGTCTTAACACTATCCGGAGCGGGATCTAACGAACAATTGCAATGAAATTTGAAGGATGTAGGCTATTATTCAAAATACCTGTATACAGAAGGCAGTTTTGACTATCAGAAAAAGTGGTGTTATATAACACGAGAAATGCTTCTACATGTCGTAGATTTTATTAAGATAGAGGCAAGAAAATGCGCAAGGAGAAGATAAATAATAAATTTTTCTCAATAAGTCGATATTTCTGAATAATATGTTGCTATTCTATTTTTCCGTCATTTTAGTAATAGAGCAAGATCCAATAAAATTGCAATAAAGATGTTTTGCTTCTAGATTCACGTAACAACGCCAATTTTCTCCTAGGGCCGAAATTAAAACTAACTATTTTCTTTAAAATTATTATCTGCACATTTATTTAATTTCGCTGTAATTTGCTAAATTTTATTCCGATACTGCGGAGATAATGTAGTAGTTTAGTATTACTGGATAGAGAACATTAAATATAAATATCAAGTATACAGTATGGATTTTCATGTAACCATTCTTGCTAGCTAAATTTAATTAAAAGCAATATATGAGAATTTTTTATGATAAAAAATTACAAATTAAGAATAATTTTATTTTATGATAATATAAATCTGATATTAAACAGTGTGATAAAAGCGTGTACAAAAATAAAAAATACATTTAAAACAATTAAACATTCCATATATCTTTAATAATTTTCTCACAAAAACGTTAATGTTACAATAAGAATTTTAACCATAAATATACAACAACAAATATGTTTTAAGAATTATATACAATTTTACGTATTATGAGTTTTTAATAAGTTATTATCTATAATCATATCCAATATTATATATAGAAAGTAGATAAAAGTTTTGGGCACTCGAGAATTACAAAGTTTTTTCTGAAAGGGCCCCACATAAATTATGATTGACTAGTATTTGGCACAAAAATGACTTCTTAAGATACATTAATACTGCTTTCCCAAGAAAAAATATACTTTCAACTTGATATGTATTTTAAGTGGCAGTCGGAAGGATAAATAAATTTCTATTGTAATTCGAATAGAAATGAATTTAAGATATTTCATAACAATATAAAATAAACTAGTTTTATGTGTAGATAGAGATATCGGAATATAAATTTTTATATTGAATTGTTTAAAAACGTTGGAATCTGATCAATTTTTTAAAAATATTTTCTCAAATTTTTAAAGATTTTTACCGAATTTCCCAATGTTTTATATAATTTTTAGTATAGAAAATGGATATCAGAAGTTTTAAAATCACAGTCGATAGCCATTTTATTAAAATTATGTCGAAAAAGTTACTTTGAAAATATGAAAGACGACGGCTTTCAAAATTTCTGTTTTATGAAATATAAATATTTATATGTTTAAGAATTTATAATTTTGGTATAATCTACTAAAAACCTATATAACATTATATAAAGTTTTCGATTTAAATAGAAGGAATTTTTATCAACATGATATGTATGGAAAGAATGTTTCAAAAAAGTTTCCTAGGAAATCGCAAGTTAGAAATTAGTGCTGGCAATAAAACCGGTTTTCGGTAAACCGAAAAATGGTTTGAATAGGCATTAAAAATTAATATCATTGTGTTTACGTGTTTATTTATTTTTTACTTTTAGTTGGGAGTAAAGTATGCTTGGATTTAAGATGATTCCTCATAAATGATGCACTATTAGAAAACCTCAGCGTAACATTACAACTTGTACTGTACACTGCACCAATCCAGGATATTTTTAAAACAACACAAGTATCCTTCGCGTTTAAATTTGAAAATTAAAAGTAACGTAAAAAGTAGCGTGAATTAATTTTTAAACGTTAAACTTTTCAAATGCTATTTGTTAAATACTGTAATTCAACTCTAGAATTTGCTAACATCGAAGAAACACCGACCTCTTTTTTGGCATATTTGTGAATCATGGTTAATATTTACTATAATACTTTACATATTCTTTAATTAAAATTAATAATTATTAATGATATTAATAAAATGCAATAATAAAACATTACTGAATTCAAAAAGGTTAACCGATTTCGAGAATTTCCAGTTTTTGCCAGCACTAGTAGAAATTGTCTATTTAATCGGATGTTTGAAATGTTCCCTACTGTTAATTAGGCCACTGTATCGGGTATCGCAGTATATCTAATAGAAGGAGGGTCTTTTAAAAGTAACGCTTCTTTCGGAAAGTGCACACAAGTACGAATGCACCAGACTATACCTACTATCCCGAAAATCGTAAGGGATGTGCCAAAGAAAATAACAGAACCGAATACAGTAGAATGTTCTTGATGCCAAGCAGAATTAGAAATATCACTTCGTTTGGTGCCATCTGAAATATTAGTATAAGTAGGATAAAATTTAGGATACCAAGACACTTGTATAATTGAATGAGACTCTGTAAAATCGGATATAATCGTTAAATTTTCTTTCGTAGAATTAATTTCGCTTGTATGGTTTCTTTCTTGTTTTGGTTGAAGACACCAAGTTGTGGTGGATTGATAAGACTTCTTACATTCCCCTTCTGAAATTAGTGCACATAGTTGACCTTTCTCTATCCAAGTAATGAAAGGAGAAACCGAATTTGTTCGAGGTTGAATTTCAATTTGATGCCACTGTTTCGAATTAATGTTAAAAATCCAAAGATTATCGTAAAAATCTTCGTATGTCCATATCCAAAGCTGATTATTTTGTGTCCAAGCTACGGATTGAGAATGAAGGGAAGGCCAAGGATCAGAATGTTCGAAAAGCAAATACCAAACCGTGCCATTCGTTTTCCATATCGACGTTTCACATAATATATAGGTTTGTTTATCTGCATCTGTCCACCAAACAATATTGGAAATCTGTGTTTGATTCATGTGATGATGAGTAGAGACCTCTAATTGTGATATTTTTTCTTGAAATCCGTTGAAAAGATTCACTTCGAATATTTCATCTGTTTCGAAATCAACTAAAAGTAAAGTGTCGTTATGACAGACAACAGTATAATGAAGGGAAATAGGTACTTCTAGCCATTGTTTTTCATATACTCGATAAATAAAAACAGTACTTTCCTCTTGAAGTATAACGTAGCTATCGATGATCACACATACTATTTTTAAATTATTCAAAGTTGTTGCATTTGGTAAAAGGTGAGAATTCCACGATTGGCTTGTTATATTATACCACATAATACTATTTGCTCCGATACCCCATAGACTACCATCGTGATTTCTCCACGTCGTTGAAGGCAATAAGTCACAAGGAATAACTGGATGAAGATTTTCTACTTGAAGATCTTCTGAAAATTATTTAATTAAAATTTAGATCAATGTTTGTGTGTAGAATTAAAAAAAAATTAATAATTAAAATAAAAAATAATATTTCATTTCTAACTTCTAATATATAAAACAGTGATTCGGTATTCAAAATGAAACTACTATGCAAATTATATCTTTATTTTAAATATTAAAAAAATTGCAAAGAGAAGTAATCATCATTATTTTTAAATACGGAAATCGGAAAACGGAAGTTAGTCAGGCACGATATTCATAATGGAGCAATTTTTCACAACTTTTTTCCCCTTGATTGGAAGCAAACTTTGATTAAAAATAAAATGATCTGCCGTAAATAAGCATTCCATTCTCATCTAAATTACTTTTGATGCCTTCAGCATTGAAGTTTTCTCACAACTTTTAATTTGATTTAGGTAGCTAGAAGCAAAATTTTCTAACAATAAAGGGAGTATTTTTTCCATTAGTGCAGAAATATTTTAATAATTGAAATAGAACGATAAAAATATTGAAAATATTTTCTAGCTGTCAATAACATTTATTTCTATTAATTAAAAATATAATTCAATTCTGTTACAGCACAAAATGACATATTTATTCTAATTCTAAAATATAATAACTATCNTTTTAAACACTTTTTTTTTATTTTAATTTTAAATAAGAATTCCCTGTTAAATACTAAATTAGATATTTTTATGTGAGTAAATGCTATTTCGTAAAGTCTTTACAACATTAATAATTTTGTTTAATGTATCTAAATCTAGCTATGTAAGAATTCAAGGAGAAAAGAGTAAATATTCTGATTGAATCCCAGTAATTGTAGGACTTCATCAAACCAAACAGCTTTATGTTTTCTTTGTAATAAGCTAAATGTTTTCTGTCCTTCAGAAATCTAATCACATTATTATTGAACTCGACGCAATTATTTAAGATTCGGATTTAAATTCGACAATTTTCAATGTTTGTTATTAAAGTTTTCCTTTTTAATTTTTGTTATTAGTACCAATATAGGCCAACTATAGACTACAGTAACGACGGAGGAGAGAGAGAATATAACACGACAGCTATTTATCAATCGATGCATTTGTAACCATAACAACAACGAGTGATGAATAATGCTGGTAAGCAGCAAGACAAAAATATTAATGGATTATTAATTAACTATTCCTGTAGGAGTTACCCTTTGATATAAATATAATTCTGTAATGATCTGTACTCGTCGTACATAAAAACTTTCATTTTTGTTCTAGGATGGATCGAAATTTAACTTTTTATATTATAGACTATTTATAGAAGACCTCTACCATTTAGAAAACTAAGCTATATTATGCAAAACCAGCCGCTGTAAAGTATGGCAAATCGATCCTGTTAATAAAATTTGTAGGTTTATATTTACTGTGACATTGTTTTTATTATTATTATTGAACGAGACTACGCAGTAAAATAGGAAACTTAAATAGCAAATTAAAATGATTAAATCCACTGCGTGTCTATTTTATAATAATGTTATAACTTGTGTCGTATCTAATGCTACGGCTGACAAGTATAACGGACAACTACTTTGAAACTAACCACACCCTAAATTAACAAAAAAAAAAAAAGAAAAAACTTTTCGCTAAGTCGCCAAGTGGAAGTCAAACTAAAGAAAATTATATTTATTACCGCAATTAATTAATTGAAAAAATTATTCTTGTAATTTCTGCTGTTATTTAGAATGTGAAATTTTAATGAAAATTTAAAAAACAAAAAGGGAAGTTAAATATTTAAGTCTTTCCAAAAAATAAATTTTATTATCGGAAATAAATTGTTCTCTGTTTTCCAAGTATAAAAAATTACTTTTTATTACTTTCCACAGAAAATTTTTAAATGTTTTAAGAGTCTATATGCAAAATGCATTAAAATAATTTGATAAATGTCATTTTTAAAACAAATAGAAAATACTGATTTCTTTTTCGATATAAATCCATATATTGCGTACGCGAGTAATAAAAATGTCAAATCAAGCTAAACTGCGATTTTATGAAAATATTGTCTGATATGCCATAATAAAATTAAATAAAATTAATTTGTAATTTATTAAACATAATATAGAGTCATACTTATATGGGGAAAAATCAGTAATGAATGCATTATTAAGGTAATTCGTTATATTAATACGTTTCTACTAATTAATAGGGGAGATCGGGGCAAGATCGGCATGTTAAGCTTTACTTAAATTTTGTGTAATAAATACTGCTGTAAACTGAAAAAAAAGCTTTGCATATTGTCTATTGGAATGTTACCTTACTATAGAACTGGTTAAAATCAGTTTGGAAATAAAAATAATTAAAATAATTACAACTTTACAAGAAGAGAGAAATTGACGAAGTTGCCCCGGGTATAGGGGCAAGATCGGCAACTTCTCTCTTTTTGTAAAGTTGTAATTATTTTAATTATTTTTATTAAAGTTGCCCCTGGTATAGGGGCAACAGTAATGGGGCAAGATAGGCACGTATATAAAATTATGTTATTAACAATGTATAAGTTGGAATTCACTATTAAAACAAAGAAATACAAATCCAACACCCATTTAATATTATTACAACGAAATGCAAGTTCAAAGACATATATACATGAATAACAAATGCAAACATGTTTTCATTTATCATCTGTTTGATTTTTATCCTTTGCTTCTAATGTGGCTTTATGTTGCCGATCTTACCCCGCTAGTCATGATTTCGAAACATTAAGTACAACCCTGAGAACAGAATGCCAAGCCACGATCTGGCCACGTGAATAAGTTGAAGTTACATCCTTCTAACAGGAAAAGTAACTTTCGTTATCATGGAATTATAACAAAACCTGCCAATTCAATATAAATGGAAAAAAAATATTATATGGAATTGAACGAAAATGAAAATTTGCTTGATAATTCAACTACGCTTGTTGGAGAACAATAAAAACACTACACTCAACAAGCCACCAATAAAACTCAACTGCCTAACCTATAACCAAAGTCTCCTTTTAATTTGTTTTTTAAAAAAAGCGCTTGACAAACTTGCCCCGCATGCCGAAGTTGCCCCGATCTCCCCTATATAAATTATTTGTATTCTTGAATAATTATAGAAATTATTTTTGCAGTAATCTATATTAGGAGTAGAATGTTATTTATATTATAGCTTCTAATACTTATAATTTAGCCTAAATTAGTTTATAAGGTTTAAATTAGAAATATTTAGCGAAAGGTTTTCTTACATTACAAAAATTTTGTTTTAAAATGCTTGGTTTGGTTTAATATATTTCACAAATAATTCTAGAATTCCTTTATTTCGAGTACTACTAATAATTTACTCAATGACAAAGCTAGATTATTTTACCACAGAGATTTTATTTTTAGAAAATTGCTAGAAATTTCTGTGAATACAGACAAGATAAATCTGTAATCGTTGTAAAAGACATCTTGGATTGTCTTCGTTGGGATTTCGATTTCAATTTATTTGAGCTAAGAACGTCCTCTCGACAGATATGATAGGCTTTTCAATTATAGTACTTGATAAAACAATGACCTTCTGGAAAATATTCGATTCTAATTTCTTTTATGTTAAATTTATTGTATGTTTAAATGAAAGTTTAATGCATGTCAATATATTAATTGAAATTAATCACGTTAATACATTAATTTAAAATGATAATCGACTAATATTCAGTTTGCCTCCCCATAATATATTTTCTAATACACTTAAAATATAAATTAAATGTAACAAAACTAATAATTTTTGCAGCTAAAGAAAAGAAAATGTTTAACCATTTTATTATTTTATTTATTATTATTATGTTGGGTTTAGTGGGTTATACTTTAAAAATAAGTTTTAAGTAAAGATATAATTTAATTAAAAATAAAAGAATTACATTAAAAACAACACTTCTTTCAATTAATCTTATATAATAACATATCAAACAAAGATAATATAATTTATCAAACTATGAGTATTTACTATTTTAACCAGTAATCAACNATTTTACAAAAGGAAACAAATTAAACTTTAATTGAAATAAATATTATGATAATATTTGTCTACGATGTATTAACAGAAAGGCGATCGTTATTCAAGATGCAACAAGTAGCTAAACTGTAAACGATAAAAAGATCAATTTCCGAAATTTACATAATGTAATTTTATATCATATATTCCAGAAAAGTACTGTACAGATATCAAGAACGAATATGTATTATCAATTGTAATTCTCCAAAAATATATATTTTAAAAATTCAATAAATATTCTAACATTAATCACACTGTAGTAAATGTAAAAGAACAAAGAATATTTAAAATAATAATTAATATTTGTACAATAATAATTTCTATAAAATATTTTTAAAAATAAGTTTTAAGTAAAGATATAATTTAATTAAAAATAAAAGAATTACATTAAAAACAACACTTCTTTCAATTAATCTTATATAATAACATATCAAACAAAGATAATATAATTTATCAAACTATGAGTATTTACTATTTTAACCAGTAATCAACGTCTATTATTTAAATTTAATGAGTAGTAATGAATTTTTATAAATTATATCACGTCGTTGGGAAATTAATCTAGAAGATATCTCACCTTCGGCGGATTTGGTGGCAATCCGAACAGAAAAGAAACAGAGAAAGAAAGCCCAAAAAAGAATAGACATGATAATGTTATGGTTGACAGATGTCCGGTGGTAGCAGAACCCTCAAAAAAACGTACTATTCGAAGCATGCACGAATAGACAGACTATCGGGTTAATCGATTTTTGACTAGCTGCACTTGCGCAGTACAGTGCTGACTCTGCAGTGTCTATACAATAAATACAAGCGGCACTCGAAAGCAGAGATTCGGGAAAAAGTGCACTTAATCTGGTTATTTAAGGAGAAGAACGATCGTTTTGACAATTGTCTGAAAGTTTTTCATTAGATGATTACTTTCTAAGAAATTATATTTTTATCAATAAGGGAATTTATTTTATCTTGGGATATCAATAAGACATTTTTAACGTTTTACCGTTTCTTTTATAAAAATTAAACTTTAACATTTTAATAATGGTTTAGAATTACATTTATCATTTCGACTCAGTGTTTTAAAGAATTTATTTAAATTATTGAATTAAATAAAAGTTATTTTTAATTCATTTTATATGTATATTTCTTAAAAATTATATCATTAAAACTTTAATTAATTTAATACAGAAATTTATGTAACCTTCCATATATATGTTTAAATATGAAATTATGTATTAAAAAACAGTATAATAATAACAAAACTGTTGTTAAATTAAAATATCAATATATATCTGAATTACCCGTCTATTAAAATATTCATTAATATATTTTATTATAATTTATTAGAGCATATATAATTTATTATAATTATAATTTATTTGTTTTAATTATTAAACTTGTAAAATGTATACAGTACCTATAGTTTTAATACGTGTTCCATAATTTAATCTTATATTAAATTATGGAAATGTAGTTTTTATATTAATAAAAAATTATACAACTTTTAAGAAAGACACAAATAGACTAAATATTTTAAAAATATTTTAGACATCTATAAGTCTGTTAGTCAAGTTTATAAAAATTATTTTTACTCTAATATACGTGTTATTTTTGAATACTTTAAAATCAATTATTATAATAATATAATTTTATTAATTAGTATATTGTAACTTTGTCTTCACTTAACGAAAAAATCGAAAAATACCGAGTTCTTTTATTAGTATAGGCCCAGTTTAAGAAAAATTAACGATCGTATAAAGTGTCAGTTCAAGCTGAGAGCAGAATTAAAGTTGTATAAACTTTCTAATTCAAAACTTTTTATTAACATATACGACCAGAGCCAGATTTTCACGTAAGCTAACAAGCTGCAGCTTAGGGTCTCTCATTTTTTTATATTTCATTATTTGATGGAGGAGAAGGGCCTGCTATATGTTATAGCTTAAGGCCACAACAAGTCTATGTCCTGCCTTGTATATGTATTAAAGGGTAAATACTTCTCTATTTTGAATATTCGAATATTGAAAAGAATGACTTTTCTTTTAAATTATGAAAGAAAATCCGAAATTAATATATAATAACCTTAATTAACTTTTGTTTGAAATAATATATTATCAAAAATCTTACTTTTTCCATTAACATATAATTAACAGCGTTATTAATATATGTTATATTTAAAATAATATGAACATATTAAAACCTGTAGAAAAGGAATTTAATCCTTATATTTAATACATTATGATAGAACAATTTTGATTAAGATTTTATTTAAATCAGAAATAAGCGTTGAATATTAAACTAAAAATACTGTAGTTCTTTAATTTTTTTNTAGTATATTGTAACTTTGTCTTCACTTAACGAAAAAATCGAAAAATACCGAGTTCTTTTATTAGTATAGGCCCAGTTTAAGAAAAATTAACGATCGTATAAAGTGTCAGTTCAAGCTGAGAGCAGAATTAAAGTTGTATAAACTTTCTAATTCAAAACTTTTTATTAACATATACGACCAGAGCCAGATTTTCACGTAAGCTAACAAGCTGCAGCTTAGGGTCTCTCATTTTTTTATATTTCATTATTTGATGGAGGAGAAGGGCCTGCTATATGTTATAGCTTAAGGCCACAACAAGTCTATGTCCTGCCTTGTATATGTATTAAAGGGTAAATACTTCTCTATTTTGAATATTCGAATATTGAAAAGAATGACTTTTCTTTTAAATTATGAAAGAAAATCCGAAATTAATATATAATAACCTTAATTAACTTTTGTTTGAAATAATATATTATCAAAAATCTTACTTTTTCCATTAACATATAATTAACAGCGTTATTAATATATGTTATATTTAAAATAATATGAACATATTAAAACCTGTAGAAAAGGAATTTAATCCTTATATTTAATACATTATGATAGAACAATTTTGATTAAGATTTTATTTAAATCAGAAATAAGCGTTGAATATTAAACTAAAAATACTGTAGTTCTTTAATTTTTTTAATATCTCTTCTCTTATCTCTTTCGCTTTCTTGTCTACACGTAACACATTTTGTACAATGAAATTAATGGAGATCGAGGACAATAAAATAATTTTATAATTTGTTTGATTTATAAGATGTTAAAGTTTATTACAAAATTTGACACGCGTAAAGTAATTTTTTAATATTTATTATTTAAATATATTTTCAATCAATTTATTTTTGATAATCTAAAAATATACATATTCATTTTTATTCATATATTTATCACCTCATATTCCTTTATCTGATTATAATAAAGTAACATTTATTTTAACGTTATGGTACATATTTTTCTGAAACTGTGGAGCATTTATATCATACAAAATTATTAATTCGATCAAATAATTAGAAATTTAATTTTAAAACTCGACTAAGAATTACTGAATTTTAATTTTTTTAAATATTCATTGTTCAAACAATTGAGAATTTTATAAAATATCTAACATTATGACAGAATCGATTGATATGTTATACAGTACATGTAGGTATTTTATAATTACGATATTCAATTTGCGTTTTGTTAGCCGAATTTCATAATAAATTCTATCTTTGGAGAATTCAAAATATTGAATTATGATATCAAATATTTGCTCAAAACTTCTGAAATGTTCATGCGAAACAAAAAATATATAGGGGAGACCGGGGCAAGATCGGCATGTTAAGCTTTACTTAAATTTTGTGTAATAAACACTTTTGTAAACTGAAAAAAAAGCTTTGCATATTGTCTATTGGAATGTTTTCTTACTATAGAACTGGTTAAAATCAGTTTGGAAATAAAAATAATTAAAATAATTACAACTTTACAAGAAGAGAGAAATTGACGAAGTTGCCCCGGGTATAGGGGCAAGATCGGCAACTTCTCTCTTTTTGTAAAGTTGTAATTATTTTAATTATTTTTATTAAAGTTGCCCCTGGTATAGGGGCAACAGTAATGGGGCAAGATAGGCACGTATATAAAATTATGTTATTAACAATGTATAAGTTGGAATTCACTATTAAAACAAAGAAATACAAATCCAACACCCATTTAATATTATTACAACGAAATGCAAGTTCAAAGACATATATACATGAATAACAAATGCAAACATGTTTTCATTTATCATCTGTTTGATTTTTATCCTTTGCTTCTAATGTGGCTTTATGTTGCCGATCTTACCCCGCTAGTCATGATTTCGAAACATTAAGTACAACCCTGAGAACAGAATGCCAAGCCACGATCTGGCCACGTGAATAAGTTGAAGTTACATCCTTCTAACAGGAAAAGTAACTTTCGTTATCATGGAATTATAACAAAAGCTGTCAATTCAATATAAATGGAAGTAAAACATTATATGGAATTGAACGAAAATGAAAATTTGCTTGATAATTCAACTACGCTTGTTGGAGAACAATAAAAACACTACACTCAACAAGCTACCAATAAAACTCAACTGCCTAACCTATAACTAAAGTCTCCTTTTATTTTGTTTTTAAAAAAAAGCGCTTGACAAACTTGCCCCGCATGCCGAAGTTGCCCCGGTCTCCCCTATATAATTTATTTTAAGACATTAATTAGTATTTATTAAGAAATTACATTTTCATATCTGTATGAATTTCTTTACATTAATTTTTGGTTAAAAATTATACATAAAAAAGTTATCGATTTTTTTTTTCTAAATAATTTTTTCTATATNTGAGAATTTTATAAAATATCTAACATTATGACAGAATCGATTGATATATTATACAGTACATGTAGGTATTTTATAATTACGATATTCAATTTGCGTTTTGTTAGCCGAATTTCATAATAAATTCTATCTTTGGAGAATTCAAAATATTGAATTATGATATCAAATATTTGCTCAAAACTTCTGAAATGTTCATGCGAAACAAAAAATATATATATAATTTATTTTAAGACATTAATTAGTATTTATTAAGAAATTACATTTTCATATCTGTATGAATTTCTTTACATTAATTTGTTGGGAAATTAATCTAGAAGATATCTCACCTTCGGCGGATTTGGTGGCAATCCGAACAGAAAAGAAACAGAGAAAGAAAGCCCAAAAAAGAATAGACANAGTCTTTCATAGATGCTTTTTATCTCAACTACAATAGACTAACAAATAATTGTTCTCATTCTCTTCTACTGTAGATTTTTATTTAAGATAACAAGAATCTCGAAAACATTCAGCTGATAGTCTAATGATCTAGTCTGCTTCTTTTCTTGTCACAAATTAAACCAGGGATACTGAAGAGACGCTGTCTATACTCAATGGCGTTGCTAAGAGATACCATTTATACAAAAAACAAATAATGAAATTTATTTGTTCGAACTTCAAAACGTTGTTTTTAAAAACATTTTGAGTTAGTTTTCCCTTTTGGGTTCACTGTTACTGTACTGTAGATACTTAGATTTTACAAATACGTGAGCCGTTCACAGCCCGGCACACGTATTTGTAAAATCTAAATGACTCGTACAACATGGAATTCATATCAAACGGAATTATGAACAGTGTTATAGGGGGGTCGACTGTATATTAGAAAAAATAATTTTTACTACAGTTTTGCCATTATTATAGGAATTTAATTGATCTTTAAGATAATCCAGAAAATGTTCGAAATTGATTTTAAAATAATACTTATAATTAATATTATTCTCTATTAAGTTATGTCAAAAAAGTAGATTATATCTAGCAATTACAAAGTTTCAATCAACAGATTTTCGAGCAA